GTCTCTTCGGCCAGCTGTCAGGAGCTCACTGCTTGGACATGACGCAAGCCAATTACACTCTTACCAGAGATTTTTTGTTGCTTCAGATTTCAATTGATAATGCCAACAGGGCTGGAGCCCTTGCAAACATGAAAATGGGAGAACTGAACAGTGCCGTGAAACATGATGATGAATACGTTGTTCATGTAAGTGATCAGAAGACTTTCATCCCACACACGGTCCAGCGAGAACAATACTCAGCCCGAAATTGTACAGTTGGATGGCCATTTTTGCGAGGGAGGCACGATCGAAGGTTGCTGGCACAACTGCTAATCCTAACTCAAACGTCTTTTTGACGTGGAATGGGGAACCGATGGTATCGAGTCAAATAAACAAAGCGATCAAGTCAGTCTGGAAGAAGGCTCAAGTGGATGGCAATCCTAGCGCATCTCTCCTCAGAAAGTCGGCCGTTTCTCGAGTACACACAGCAAGCGACAGCAATGAAGCCAGGGGAAATCTTGCAGACCTGATGGCCCACAATCTGCAGACGGCAAACAAATATTACCGTCTACAGGAAAAGAGCAAGTCCTCAGTTCAAGCCTCCAAGCAGCTGCGCAGCATAATGCGTGAACAGTCAGACCATCCAGACCAAACAGCCAAACCAAACAGTACTTCTGTCAGCCCAAGCCCATCTGCTTCAGAGGCTGTTGTCCCCAAAACCTCGAGAGGTTCATGGAACGAGGACAAGGAAGCTCTTATCAAGACAGTTTTCAAGGATGAAATTGAGCACAAAGCTATTACTTTAGCTACGGTGAAAACAAAAATTTCTGATCATCCGCAGCTAAGGGAAGAAGACCCAAAACGAGTCTTGGACAAAGTACGCGCTCAATGGCGTTTCAGTAAGTCCCCCCCTCCAGAACCTCAATGCCTTCCATCTGAAGTGGAAACACTGAAGCAACGTGTTGAAAGGGCGTTTCAAGCAGAGAGCGAGACGGCAAGTGAAATCATACCTCCAACCAGTGTGTCAAGTAGCGTAAGAAACGTCTTTACAGCAACCGAGCTTGACAGAATGCAAAAGTTATTTCGCAACATGATAGAAAAATCTTACCCGATTTCAAAGCCGCAAATTAAGATGATCCTCGAAAAGGAAGACTGGGGCGTGGAAATGTTAAAGAAAGTTTCATTGGACACAATTGTCAACTGCTTAAAATATGAAAGACGTCAAAATAGGGCTTCCAAGATGAGCAAGCAGTAAGTTACGTTTATAGGTGAAATTTTTCCCTCGTGTCAAGGGCCCATTAACTGATCTTTTTAAGGCGTTGCTAGGGAAAATTTATCTTCATATAACCTTGTTATTTTTGGTTATTTCAGAATTATTTCGTGTGTTTTAAATAACTGAGGTAATTACAACAGCCAATGGTAGTTTACTTGAACAGCGCAATGAACCAATATTAAGCAGTTAGGACCAAGCGCAAAAGAAATCATTCTAGCTTTGTAACAGAGATTTTTTTCCTTAAATAAATTAGCGCGCGGTTTTTATTTCAAACCACATCAACTCAAAGGAGCATCAATAACTTTTGAAGTTGACAGCTCTATTGCTCATGATTCTGACCCATTAATTTAGGTGTATGTGAGATTGTTTGTTGTGGGTGACGCAATGTTTGGAAAATGGTTTTTCTTATGGCAAAAATTGCACTCGGGTGATATGACGACACTCCATTTAGGGTAATTTTTAGCTGATTCTTAACACTTTCCAAAAATCAAATCATCTTTACAAGCCAAAAAATACATTTTTCTAGCTGAGGCTTTAAGGGTTACCTTTAAGGGAATACCTTTAGGGAAAAATGTATGGCACTTCATGTACGTTGCGTTTATTACTCCTCTTTTCACGGTATGTCTTGCCAACAATTTGACTTGAGAAAGCGCAATCACATTTATTGCTACAAAGATTATAGACTTCAACTTTACTTGTATCCAGTAAGCTCGGATAGCCAGTACGCTCGACTTCGAAGATTTCCATTTACGTGTATTTTCTTTAATGTTTTACCAGAGTTTTACGTCCACAACTTAAAATGCTTTTATCTTAGATGGCTTTTTACATCAAAAAAGGTACAAAAGTGCCAGTGATCGGGGTTTCGCAAACAAAAGAAGGGAACAATCCAATTTTATGTTGAATAAATAGATAGATGACCACATTTGGTAACACATTTGGTAACATTGAGCTAGGAATTGCGACAAAGGGAGAAATGATCTTGCACAGCGCCTGATTTCAAATCCTTTTGTACATAAACTCTATTTGTATATATCTTGTTCGGCTAGTAATTCCAAGCTAGCAGCTTATAACCCATTCCTGCAGTTAGAGGTAAAACCTGCTCATCCTCCATACACATGCTTTTGGTGTTTCGACTGATTTTGTTGTCAAGGGGAAGTTTTAAACACCATATTTTGTACTTGATAATATTAGAATTCTACTGACTTTATAGCATAATAAAATACCCAGTCATCCAATTTCCATGAGCTGGTATAAAACTCCGGGAAATAGGCCGTTTATTTTTAGCGCCAAATATGCATATAAAGAAAGATGAGCGGGGGAAGTAAGGGGTTCAGACTTCAGTTAAGTTTGCTTGTTATAATAAAACAGGCAATTATTCGGTTTTTAGCGAATGTTAAATAGTTAATGACCTCTAGGCATCTCTACTGCAGAAAAGCTCCGTTCCGTGATAAAATTCCTCACTTAAGAGAAAAATGCACGAATTAGTCAGCACACTCGCATGAATGTGCCGTAGTTAAAATGTTTGAGGTAATCTCACTGAATTTTTATCCCTTTGAAGACTGAAAATAATACAACTTGTGTCAGAGAGGCAAGGGCGGCAAGGAATTTTTCATCGAGCATGGAAAATTGCACAACGTCGTCAGAATTAAAAGAAGTCAGATGTTTTCAGCTTACCTATAGGTCTATTTATTTTGGCTGTTGCTTCTGCTCGTTTTTTGTTTCTTTTTACCGACAAAGTAATGACGTCGAGCTTAAAAAAAGAAGTTCAATTTTCTAATAACCATTTTTTTTTTGCGTGGATTTAAAACCTCAAATAATTCATTGAAGGCACCGTGGAATGTCTTGCACAACATCGCAAGAGCACAGTAATTCCCAAGGTGAATCAGTCGCTGTTGGATGATGGATTAATATCATATACACGATCATCTCTATAATTACTTATGTGAAAACAATCTATTGTACCCTTTACAGTCAGGTTTTCGGAAACACCATGGAACAGACACTGCTCTTATACGAGTCATAGACAATTTGTTATTTAATCTAGACAATGATCAAGTCAGCGGTCTTCTTTTAGTTGATTACAGGAAAGCTTTTGATATGGTTGACCGTGAAATTCTTTTGCAAAAGCTGAATGCCTATGGTTTAACTCCAGTTGCAAGTAAATGGTTTAGTTCATACTTGACTGATAGACATCAATTTATTGCTATTGATAATGTGACATCTGACTCTACTCTTGTGAGGCATGGTGTTCCACAGGGTAGTATCCTTGGCCCTTTACTTTTTGTCATTTATATCAATGATTTGCCTCTACATGTTAATGGTGCTGACCTGGATCTCTATGCTGATGACACCACACTGACATTATCGGCAGATATCTCAGCGGTTGATTCTCTACAAGATTCACTAGCTGCTTCTTTGAAGGAAATTGAATGCTGGACGCACACCAATAAACTTCCTCTCAATGAAAAAAAAAGACTAAAACACTACTGGTCACAGGCAAACGCCTTGGGAAGAAACTACCAGATGGTTATAATTTATCTCTTAAAACTATGAATGGTGTATCATTGGAACAAGTACCCTCAGCTAAACTTCTTGGTATAGACATTGACCACGATTTATCAATGAACACTTATGTTGACAGACTGTGTAAAAAAAATTTCACAAAGAATTGGAATTTTGAATAAGATCAAACTTTGTTTACCATTTAACCAAAGACTTTTATTTTATAATAGTTTAATTAAGCCATTATTTGATTATGCCAATGTTGCATGGCAGTCACTTTTGCTCTAATGAATCTCTTTTAAGAATACTTAGGCTACAAAAGAGAGCTGCTAGGGTTTTATTAGATGCTGAACCACGTAGTTCATCAGTTATGCTATTCAATCGTTTAAAGTGGATACCATTTTATGACTCTACTAAGATGGCTAAATGTTCAATACTATTTAAAAGGATTAATTATTGTGTACCTAATTATCTTAATGATAGCTTAAGATTATTAAGTTCAGTACATTCACGCAACACTAGATTTTGTAAATACAACTTTTTATTACCTAAGTTTAAAAAAGGGCTAGAGAAGGAGGGAAAACTTTTCTAGTTTCTGCCATAAAATTATGGAATCAGTTAAAGCCTGAATTAAAAAAGTCTAATACACTTAAGGCCTTTAAAGACAACGTATTTAAATATTACTATAAGGACCAATCATGCTTAGCTCATTTTAATCCGTAAATTTTATTGATAGTAGTTTTATATATTCTTACTTGTTTTAGCTAATTTTCTATTTATATTTCATTCTATTAATGATTCTATTGTATTTATATATTTATTGTAATTAGGAGGACCACAAGTTTATTAGTGTTTGTGCACTATCACGTGCTATCCTCAATAAATAAAGTCTTCTTCTTCTTCTTCATCAGGGTTGAACAAGAACAAAAATGCTAGTGGGAGTGAAGGTCAAAGTGAAACATCCAATAGAAAACAGAAGAAAAAGTGTCTCTTACCACATTGCAACAGTGTAGTTCGTCATCTTCCAAGGCATATGAGAGAGGTACACGAGTGGTCCAAAGCGTCCGCCAAAACCGTTACATCTAGACTCGGGTTGCGAAAGAAATATACGTTTTCTAGAAAAGAAACTGCCTCAGCAGGAAACAGAAAGCAACGGAAATTTACAAAGGATTCTTCATCTGTCAGCTGCAAAAAACCGTGCCAGAGGAAGAAATTATGCCCTGTTCTAGGCTGCTCAACAGTGACGGAGAGACTTCCACAGCACTTGCAGCAAAAGCATGAGCTAAAGCGTGATGATGGAAAGTACAAGAAGTATCTCTCACTCGCAAAAGTCGTATCTAGAAAGAAGCCCCACATATTTCTGAGGATGAAAGCAGAACGAGAAAGCAACATCGGTGATAAGTATGATCAGAACAGGTTATCTTCATTTGACACCACATCACGAACATCAGAACAAGATCTCGAGGATGACCAACTCGCACCTGATGTGCCTGGAGAAGCTGATGGTTCTGGTAACTTTGATAGCACCGAAGACCCTCTGGCTGACGCTGTAGCAGAGACTATGCAAGAATTTGAAGACTGGCTTATTTCCCCAGACTGCGAGAAGAAAGACGAGAAAACTGCCAAGCAACATGTTGCCCAAGTGAAAAATGTTTTGTCCATAATAGGTGGGGGTGCTTGCCTTCGATCATTGCTTGACGCGAAACAGATTCGAGATGTCTTCCTTCGTCAGTACGCTGAAGTGAAATACTCTCCTGCAACAATAAAATCCTATCTCATGAGCCTCCAACACTTCTGCTCATTTTTGCTAGGGGAAAACCCCGGTGGAGTTAGATTCAAGAAAGATGACGTCCTCAGCCTTAAAGAAAAGTTAAAGAACTGGTCGGACTCGTATAAACGTGACAATACACGGCGCAGGTGGGAAAAAATGGAAGAAGATATCAGCGTCCTCATAACGCCAGAAAAAATCGCTGCCTTCAACAGAAGCCAGGCTGTCAGAGAATTATTTTGGGCAAGCTCAGCGGTGGTCAGTACAGCCTGATGACCCAAGCTGATTACACGTTATTAAGAGATTACTTAATTTCGCAAATAATGATTGACAACGCAAACAAAGCTGGAGTCGTGGCATACATGACTGTTCAAGAGTTTCAAAGAGCCAGACCTCAGGATGACAAACACGTCGTGCGTGTCCTTAAACATAAAACTGTCAATACTCATGGGCCAGCTCAAATTGTGTTAACCAATCACCTGTACAACCACCTAAAAATTTTCTTCGAAAAAATGCGTTCACAACTGCCGACTGCAGGGCCAAGTGAGATCGATGCAAAGTTTTTCCTCTCGTGGGGGGGAAATGACATGAAATCAAGTCAGATGTCGAAAGCATTGCAAGCCATCTTCCAGAAAGCCGGGATCGAGGGCCCTATGAACCACACACTCTACAAAAAGAATGCTGTCTCCGAGTGCCACCAAAACCGTAAAGAAATCAGTGGCAATTTGGCGGATCTCATGGCTCACAGAGAATCGACCGCCGAAAAATACTATAGAGTGCTTAATAAAAGCCGGTCATCCGTAAAGGCATCCCAGGTTCTCCATGGCATGATGCGAAATGAAGAAAAGAGTAACGAGAAGAGATTAAAAGAAAAGACGGAGGAAAAGAGCAACAGTGGGAGCGTAGAAGAAATGACAAACGAAAAGAGCAACACTGGGAGCGTAGAAGAAATGACGAACGAAAAGAGAAACAGTCAGAGCCTAGAAGAAAAGATGGATGCCATTAAGAAGCTGTTTGGTCCAGAGATCGATGCACAAAGTATATCTATCGCCACTGTCAGAGAAAAAATATGCCTGGATCCAATTCTATGCAACGAAGATGCAAAGAAGGTGTACGACAAAATACGGGCTCAGTGGCGGTACAAAGCGCAAGTAGACAACAAGCCATCAACAGCTTCCTTGCCATCAGAAAAGGAAACAGTCAGTGACCGTGTCGAGAGAATGTTCAAAGAATCTAACACGCACGAAGACGATGAAGAGAGTTTTGATTCCTCTGACGTTGTCTCCCCCACAGAAACTACCGGAACGTCTAAGCCAGGCGTATTTAGTCCAACCCATGTTCAAACTTTGCTTCGTTTGTTCTCAGATATGATTAATGGCTCCCCGATCTCAAAGCCCATAATAACACAAAAATTGCAAAACGAAAGCGAGGGTAAAGAAATGGTTACCGTCTTCACAGTCACTCAGGTGGTAAACCGACTGAAGTATGAACGAAAACAGAAGAGAGAAAAACTACGACAGAAACCAAAACTGTAGGTGCTTGTTGACTCTTAACTTGCATTAGAGATGCCCTGTACTCTCTCTTAGCAGTGTAAAAGTTAGTGAAATTACTACCCTGTTTTTCCTCTGATTCCTGTGAAGCTGATATTGGCTTGGCTAAATGTTTCTACAGTGTAATTAGGAGTATGTCTAGATGTTCAAAGTTTTCTTACGAGTGAGGGAATGGTCTAATTTTCAGGCCTAGTCCTGGTTGTTTAAGGACTACATATTCTAAGACAATATGAATGACAGTCTTCAGTTGAGGTTCAACAGACGTTATTTGTGAAGAAAAATGGAAGGAAACGAAAGGATTCGCGTTTGATACTGTTTCAATTTTTAACTTGAGAATTGTTGCTTGTTGCTGTTTAAAGGCCTGGCTAAACTGGGAAATATTGCTGCATACACAAGTGTTTCTCAGTCTTACCATGTGAGAGGTAAAT